ATATCTTGTGTATTTTCACCTTGGATGAGTTCCTCAGAGATTTCAGAATCATCAGAGAAGAACTGAGAGGCAGGAAGCAGCTGTCCCTCAGAGACACTGTGACACTGTGTGTCCTCGTCCTCCTGCACTGACATCACCTGCCAGCACAAAACACACATTTACAACATTTACAACCCAGTAACACAACGTGTGACAGTCAAATCTCTAATGAACTGTGTCAGTCACACGTAGTGTCCTTGTGTCTCTTGAAAGTAAAATATAAATTCAAGCTCTCATTATTATCATGAGAGAGAGGTTTAACCTCGGACGTTCTTCACTGTCACAGTTTCATATTTCACTTTCAACTTTCTCTCATCTCTTCTTCTTCTTCTTCTGTGAAATACAGTGCAGGGGTTTGTGCTGCTGAACACGCCCCCTACAGGAGGGTTAGAGTTAGTTCAGTTAACATGAACTTAACAGATCTTAACCAGATCTGATCTGTGTAACACAGAGTCACTGAACCAGGGTTTGTTAACCCAGACTTTCTTTAACCTGAGTCAAATGGAACCAGCTTCGTAGAACTGGCCCCTGGATGATTAGCAGTAAATGTTAGTCAGGACTAATGAACTACACACAAACTAACTTCACCTGATCATCTGCAGCTGAAGGATCCATGAAGGAGACTTTTTTGGCAGCGAGTTCGTCCTTCACTCGTTTCTTCTGTCGGAGTTTTGGCAGCAGAACCTAAAGAGACGATCAAACATCTTCACAAACAGTAAAATTCCAAAGTGACGTCAAAATCACTTCATGAAGTGATTATTTACTTATTCTGGAAGTTGAACTTTGACATTTGTCTGAAAACGTGTCATAATTACAGCAAGGATTCTTCATTAACGACCATTTTGACCTTTGACCTGCAAACTCCATTTATCTCTGAGTCCAAGTGATCGACTGAACAGTCACGTTCACGAGAGCAAAACAGACAAACTGAAAACGTCTCACTACTGCTGCTGTGTTAACTAAACCGCTAACAACAAGCTAACTACAAGCTAACAACAAGCTAACTACAAGCTAAAAGAAGCTCTGACCTTCGAGGCAGAAACATCAGGCAGCGAGGAGGAGGGATGAAAACGAAGTTCAGCTTCTTTCTCCCCCTGCAGCGTCTCTTCCATATCTTTGTCTTTCCTCTCTTCTTCCAAACCTCGCTCTCGCTTCCACTCAGTTTCTTCTATGGCCTCTTCAGGGACCAAGACTTCGGCGGTCATGATGGAGCCTGATGGAGCACGGTAAGCAGACTTCCACTTCAGGGTCACTTCAATGTGTCCAGCACTGAGTCCAGAGGGATCGCTCAGCTCAAACACTCCTGAGGGACAAACCACACATGATCAGAGCACCAGCAGCGTCCAGACAGAGACCGTGTTTTTGTTCCTGGAGAGCAGATAAACGAGTCTGGGGCTTCTCCTGGGGAAAGATGTTGTCGTGTGTGACCCCCTGACGTGAGTCAATCGTGTAGTAAGAACTCACGATGACTGTGGGACTCCTGATCACAAGACAGGAAGTTGTGTAGAATGAACTGTGATCCGATGACTAAGAAAGTGGACAGAACCCTCACCTGAGATCCCCTCGTCCTGAGCCAGCGGCAGCAGATGAACCCCGGCCTTCCCCAGGTACATGTCCATCTGCTCCTCCTTGTAGTCGAACACGTAGAACTGCAGCTGCTCAGACTTCAGGTACTGGTCCAGAACCAGGTCTGTCATCACAGAGAAGGACTGGAGGTCGTTGAAGTTGGGGTCGCAGCTGTCGTGAACCATGGCAGTGGGGTAGTCAGAGAAGTCGAAGAACCTGTAGACCACGTAGGGACTGGGCTGCTGGGAGCGTCTGGACCTCAGGTCTCCACAGCGACGGACGGTGATGGAGAGTTCGTTCCAGCCACTGATCGACGGCTGCAGCTGAGATGAGAGTTTCAGCTTTATTCACAGTGAATTCAAACTGAGCAGAAACTGAACAGTAGCTTTCTGTACGGGTTCGGTACCTGTGCTTCTTCATGCAGTGCAGTGTTGATGTAGCCCACAGCCGTCAGCCTGTCTTTATACAGGCGGATGGTTTCTGTCATGGGAATCCTCAGCCTCAGCCAGTAATCCACAGAGCCCACAGACGTCAGCCCACCAGACGAAGCTGACAAGGACAAACAGAGCTTCACACCAACGGTTCCTGCTGCGTTCAAAGAAAACTCTGACATTTCCAACCTCACTGCTGCATCTGGAGGATTAGTGCCTTGCTCAAGGTCAACACATACACAAGCGTTTTCTATATATGACTCAGCTGGTCTGAGGATTTGAACCTGCAGCTTCTTCACTACACTAACATCGTCGTTGATTCAGTTGAATGCTCTGTGACTCTGTGTTTCTTTACTTCCTGTTCGCAGTTCCTGACAGAGTGATGTCATCTCACTCACCGACCAGCGGTACGGTCCCGTGAACCTTCCCGTCTTGCTCGAGCAGCTGTTGCAGGCGAAGCTGTCCGCTCGCCAGCGTCCTCCAGTCCAGGCCCAGCGCCTGGTGCAGCTCCACGGTGACAGAGCATCTATGGAGGTAGTCGAGGAAGCGATCATCCACGCTCACCACGTACTTCGACGTGAAACCGTATTGCGGTGCGTGGCCCGTCACCACCGGAGTGGAGTGTGGCTCAAACAGATAGAAGGAGTACGTGCAGAAGGTGGAGGGCCTGTCGTCGCCCAGAGCATCCAGGGCCGAGGGAGACAGCGAGGCACTGACGATCTGAAGCTCCAGAAGGTTCTCTCCACGCTCCAGGTGAAGAGCTTCATCTTTCTGATCCTCGTCTGTGACGTCTGGTTTGAAGTTGTACGTTTTGGTGCCGTAGGCAATTTCTCTGAGCTGAGCTGAGGGAGAGCAGGAGACAGACCATTAAAGGTTTAGTTGAAAGACGGACAGAGGAGACACGACATCCTTTAACTGCAGTTACACCTGTTTCATCTGCAGCTGTGATAGGCTGCCTGTCGGTGAATTGCACCCTGGGAGTAGATCCGTCTTCTGTCCTTCAGTTTTAAAAGGTCCAGCTTGTCGTACATTCATTAAAGATCCAGATGTTTTCTGACTCAGCTGTTCATCTGTGGTTCTGATGATGTTTCTCTGAGCGTTTTCTCACCTTCCAGTTTCTTGATCTTCGCCGTCCTCGTGTCGAGCAGCTGAGCCTGACGTTCCAGCTTCTGCTCGTACTCCACTTTGTCACTGTTCAACTTCCGTACAACAGCTTCCAGCTCCACCTGGTGACAAAAGAAACTGGTTTCAGGAACATTGTCTTCTTTTGTACACGGCAGCAGACTCTGACAGGATGTGGGAGAGAACCGTGAAGTAACAGACAAGACAGAGAACTTTAACTGAACAACAGCGCCCCCTGCAGCCACACGTGGTGACTCATTCTATTGGTCCCTGTGTCCCAGTGGTGAAGTGTCTTTCATGTGTAGAACAAAGTGATTCAATGTGTTGAGCTCCGATATTACCCATGATCCTCTGCTTCCTGTACCAGAAGAGAGTTCTTCATGTTTTAAAGTTTCTGCTGAACATTGGAGATAAACTGTGGTTGTTAAGAACTGATCTCAGTTCAGCTTCACTCTTCACCTGGAGCTGATGGAGACTCTCAGTCACTTGTTCTCTCAGGAGATGAACCCACTCAGCAGAGAGAGAGAACAGACGCTCAGGGAGCGAAGGAGGAAACGTTCTCCACCTTCACTCATCAGACTCACTTTGATCAAACTGAGGTTTAAGATTTAACAACTGAAAGATGTTTCCGTAACTGATCTGATGTCGACTGTCGGCTGGTCAACCCACCGATTTTTACATTTTCAAAATGTGTTTGGTCAAATAAAAAAAGAATGAAACAGATGATGAGGGTTAAACTAGAATCCCCGTCCAGTGTTTGTTTGTCTCCACCAATCAGAGCAGCCTCAACCGAGGTCTCTTTGACGACTGAAATCTTATCAGTTCATCTTTGAGTCTAACAAAATATTTTTTATCAAATTTGAAGAAATTCCCTACAGATGTTCTTGAGGTATTGTGTTCACAAGAATGGGACGGACAGACGAACTCCGGGTGAATTGCTGTGGTTCTGTTCTCTTTGTCTACCTTGTAGTTGTTGCTGATTTTGCTCTCCGTGCTCAGGATATTTCTGGTCTTCTCCAGCTCCTGGATAGTTTCTGCGTGAGCGGCTCGGAGCTCCTGGACGGAGCTGCTCCCTCCCTCGTCCGCCTCCCGCAGGAAGTCCAGGTCACTGCTCCGCTGAGATTTACGTTCCTGTGGGGGCAGATTTTTACATGTCAGGGGCAGGAAGGAGAAGTAGTGAGAACTACAATAAGCCTCACCATGAGAACAAAAGAGATCTGTCACATGATGACGCTGATGATCTGATAAACATCATGAACATCACAGCGTTCAAAAGATTCCTCTCACTTTAATGAGGAGAAGAGCCTCAGTGAGTTCAGCCTCATCGTTCTCCTGTAACAAGAACAAGAGTTTTTACATTCAGCAAAACTCAACAACAACTTATCTCTGTATATAAACTGACTGTATATAAAGATGATCACTGACTGTGTGAGATGAATGAATCTATTGATCAATATATTGATTATTAACATGAGGGCAGAATAAAATCAGAGCATCTCACCCTGCAGTGGAACTTCAAACGATCCCTGAGATCCTCTGTTTGTTGCTTCTGTTCCAGAAACTGGATCTGAAGCTTCTTGTTTTCTTCTATCAGCTTCTCGCTTACATCTGAAAAATCTCAGCATTAATCAAACTAC